AGCACATATAAAGCAGGTACAAAGCAGTAATGAGGCAGGTATAAAGCCGGTACGAAGCGGTAAAAAGCAGCAGTTAAAAGAAGCTTCAGGACTTTATGTTTTGGTATTCATCCTAAATCTTTTTGTTGTTCATCAGAAACCCAAACAGGAGTCAGAGTCAAACGGCCCCATGTCGTCGTCTGGAGGAGCGGCTGCAGGACAGCAGGGCTCCGCCTCTTCCTCCTCCTCTTCCTCTCAGTCTGTGAGTGGGGTCAGCGGAGGGGGAGGAGCAGGAGGATCGGCGTCGAGTGTGGATCAGCGCTCCCACCACAGAGAGAAACTGGAGAGGTTTAAGAGGATGTGTCTGCGGCGGCCCGACCTGTCCTCCTCCTCTTCATCAAGCTCAGAGTCCGACTCCGAGTCCGACTCGGATGATTCCCTCAGGGGGGAGCAGGGGGGAGGTTCCTCGCCTTCGTCCTCCTCCCCTGCTCTTCCTCCTGTCGTCTACGGTAACAGCAGCAGCAGCCGGGCCGACAGGGAGCGGAGCCGCAGCGAGCGGGAGAGAGCGCGGCGGCTGGCCGAGCTGGGCTTCAGCGCCAGCGAGGAGTCTGAGGGGGAGGGAGGGAGGGGGGAGGAGGAGAGGGAGGAGGAGCAGGCAGGTGGAGGTGGGGACAAAGGCCGACGGCGAGGAGGTGGAGACGCTCTCTCACGAGGACGGAAAGTAGGTGTGATGGACACAGAGGAGGAGGACACGCTCCCCTCTGACAGGACCAGGAAAAACTCCTCCTCCCTCCCCCCGCCCTCACCCCTCTCCTCCAATCAGATGCCTCCGTCCTCACAGCACGACAGCTTCACAGGGAAGCAGCGCAGCAACGGGCAGGAGGCACGCAATGGACGAACTCGGGGAGGGACGGGGGGAGGGGAGAAGGAGAATGCCAGTGGAGCACTGACCAATCACAGGCACAGTGGAGGGGGCGGGGTCAAAGGTGGCGGGAGCCGCATTAACAAGAACCGTAACAACAAAAACCAGACATTGAGGAGCAGCGTCTCCTCCTCCTCCTTCCCCACCTCCAACGGGGGAGGGGAGGCGGGCAGCGGCCTCATGATGTCAGCCATGGCGGCGTCCCCCTGCTCTCAGCCGTCCCGCCTCGCCCCACGCTCTCACATGATGAAGCGCAGCCCTCCTGCCGTGCCCTCGCCTCCTCGGCCCATTCAGATGGAGAGACACCTGGTGCGGCCCCCTCCCACCTGTCCTGAGCCCAGTTGCCTGCCCCTGGTCTGTGGCTCCGCCCACATCATGACTCGAGACGTGTGGCTGCGAGTCTTCACGTACCTGAGCCAACGGGAGCTGTGCCTCTGCATGAGGGTGTGTCGCACCTGGAGCCGCTGGTCAGTCACGTGCACACGCTCAGACACACACCACACTGAGATGGAGGCGGAGCTTAGCACAGCAAGTAGAACAGGAAGTAAGGAAGTAAAAAAGAGTAAAGAAGAAAGAAAGTAGGTTCAAGGTTTTTATTGTCATTTCATCACATGTGGTACATGAGGTGGAACAAAAAGGTCCCAGTGACACCCAAAAATAGCAAAAATATAAACTATAAAAAAGAAAGTAAACAAGGATTTAAGATATACACTAAACAAAAATAATGTAATATAATAAGGTGTATTAAAGTAGAATAGAATAGAATCTGCAGCTTTTCTGTCAGAATGAATTTAATAAAGTTTATTTAAAAAAAAAAACAACTAACGAAGACCACGAAGAGAGGAACGTGTCAGGAGAAGAGGAAACTCAAGAATGTAGGACTGAGGGGTTGCAACTTTAAATGTGGGGACAATGACAGGCAAAGGTGGAGAGCTGGCTGACATGATGCAGAGAAGGAAGGTAGATATTTTATTTGTCCAATAAACCAAGTTGAAGCACTAGAGTACTGTAAGTAGAATGACTGTTGTGAAGAAAAGTAAAATCAGAAGGCCAAATGGTGGAAGATGAAGAAGGAAGAATGTTGAGATATTCAGAGAGGAGCTGTTAAAGGCTCTGGGTGGTAAGAAAGAGCTTCCAGATGACTGGACTATTACAGCAACAGTAATTAAGAGAGACGGGTAGGAAGGTGCTTGGTGTGTCATCTGGACAGAGAATGGATGACAAGGAAACCTGGTGGAATAGTGAAGCTACAAGGAGCAGAGGTCACAAAGGTGCAGAACTTCAAGCAGAGCTTAATTTGTAAACCAAACTATGCTGGAACGCAAATAGCGGGTGAGTGGTGGGGGGTCTGGGGGTCCTCCCCCAGAGAATTTTGAATAAAGTAGATCCATTTCCTGCATTCTGGTGTATTTACAAAGGTTTATTACATGAAACAAAATATGTCAACTCATTATTGAAATGACTGCAAAGCTGCAGCTCTGCAGGTGGGGGCGTTCACTTCAGGACTAATTGAGGCTGCTGATTGGTCAGTTGCTGACATGCCTCTGGATTGATCGACAGGCGGGTTGAGGATCTGACTACTACAAAAAACATCATAGATTTTCCTGGCTCATTTAAGACTGTTGTCATTTATTCCATATTTATTCAATATTTTGGTGAATCTAAGGTGGGGACAGTCCATGTTGAAGCGCAGACAGAGTGACTCGACCTCAGTCTGTCCACAGAGTCCACCTGCGTCCTCGGACCACTACTGTGGATAAAACACTGGCAGCTCCTCAGTAAAATGACCATAGGGCTTTTGTTGGGCAGGCGCCCACCGTGAGACAACAAGCACTCCTCTGAGTTTTTGGCCACACTTATAAAAATCTCTAATATTTATATCTTTGTCACTGCGTAGAAGAGTTGACCTCAATCGTCCTGCTCAGTCCAGAGAAGCGTCCTGGTCGCTCCGACATCACTTCTTGACTGCAGACAAAGAGCTTTATGAGCCGAGATCATCGTCTCTTTTCTGCAGTTCAGTGAAAGTTCAGAAAACTCCTGCAGTGATTCACACATCAGACTGTTCACAAAAGCACAGGAACTTATGCGTAGTACAAAACTTTAATTATTTTTTTGTGTTTTTTAATTAAATTGACCATGACTTTGAACTTTTAGGGGTAGAGATTTTTTTTAAGAGCAGAAGCGGAAATGTGAAGCGACAGCTCTGATGTGATTTTAGGAAGATCGTTATGTTTAAAATTAGTGTTTATGTAATTATTTTCAGACTACGGTACATATCCAATATAGGTTTTATTTATTCAAGGCAGTTGTATTTGTTCATAACTTTATTATCAGTAAGCCTGAGAATTACCGGATACAAGCAAACTGTTACCGTAACACACCCTGTCAAAATAAGAGAGAGGATCCGGCTCAAATTAAGCCACGACTTCAAGGACTTGGGGTCCACTGTTCAGGAAAATGGGGAGTGTGGTAAAGAGGTGAAGAAGAAAGTTCAGGCAGGATGGAGTGATGGAGAAAAGTTTCAGGAGTGATTTGTGACAAAAGGGTGTCAGCAAAGTTCAAAGGAAAAATTCACAAGACAGTGGTGAGACCAGCTATGTTACATGGTCTGGAGACGAGACATGGACAAAAAGACAGGAGACATAACTGGAAGTGGCAGAAATGAAGATGTTGAGGTTCTCCTTAGGAGTGAGAAGGATGGATAAGATTAGGAATGAGATCATTAGAGGTACAGCACAGGTTGAACAACTGGGAGATAAAGTTAGAGAGGACACACTGAGATGGTTTGGACATGTCCAGAGGAGGGACAGTGGTTTGGACATGCCCAGAGGAGGGACAGTGGTTTGGACATGCCCAGAGGAGTGTTAAAGACGTGAGCTGGCTGCAGACCACCGGATCTGGAAACCCCCTCCAGCCCACGTCTTTACCCCCGGCTCGAACCTCCCTCAGAAGTGGCAATTATACTAATCAATAAATCAAGGAAATGTCAATTAAGTTTGATCAATTATATTAGAAAAGGCAGGAAAAGATTACAATTTACAGCGCTGGACTCTTCGGTCTGCGACGCGTTCACAGACCCGGAAGAGCCTCGAAGTCCCGTGTCATTACTCATTTATAGGGTCCTAAGGCTCCTCCTTCACAGAAGGGGAGCTCAACCTATCAGTGTATGAGGGGGCGTGACTAAGTGTGATCTTATGTGGACTGACATGTTAGGAAATATATGAGACGGTGCTTCAAAAGCCTTTCTACGTGATGTGGCAAGCAGATTAAACTATTTCTTGACTGATATTGAAATCCCAGGGAGACACTCTTTAGAGTTGCTGGCCCAGTTTAACCCAGTCAGAACCGGGTCATAATTTCATTATAATCCCGTCTCTGAGCAGATCAAAACCATAGGACCAGTCTAGATTAAAAATATCTTAACAGGAGGGACAGTGGTTTGGACATGTCCAGAGGAGAGACAGTGACAAGTTGTTAAAAATAATTTTAGCCACATTTTTCAGTTTCTGTAACAAAAACCTGCAGCTTTTTGATGTGTAAAAACTTTTCTTCATCGTGTTGTGATGCGTCTCCTCGTCTTCGTCCAGGTGCTGCGATAAACACCTGTGGCCTCAGATCGACCTGAGCCGGCAGCGCTCCATCACCCCCCCCATGCTGAGCGGGATCATCCGCCGGCAGCCCGTCTCCCTGAACCTCGGCTACACCAACATCTCCAAGAAACAGCTGATGTGGCTCATCAACCGACTGCCAGGTGAGGCTCCTCAACACCGTGATCACTCGAGTGTCTCACCCGAGTGTCTCACCCGAGTGTCTCACCTGAGTGTCTCACCTGTGTGTCTCACCTGAGTGTCTCACCTGTCTGTCTCTCCTGTGTGTCCCCCTCAGGTCTCCAGGAGCTGAACGTGTCTGGCTGTGCGTGGCCTGCGGTCTCGGCTCTGTGTCAGACCATCTGTCCCTGTCTGAAGGTGTTGGACCTCAGCAGAGTCGAGGACCTGAAGGACTCCCACCTGAGGGAGCTGCTCGCCCCCCCACCTGACACCCGGACAGGTGAGGCCCCCACCTTCACACTCAGAGCTGCCTTAGTGGTTTGGAAGGAGTTCTGAAGGTTCTGCTCTGGTTGGTCCGTCAGCTCACGGCGAGGGCAGAGTGGGACGGTTCCAGAACCTGTCGGAGCTGCGATTGGCCGGTTTGGACCTGACGGACGCGTCGTCCCGCCTCCTGGTGCGTTATGTCCCCCACCTGAGCCGTCTGGACTTGAGCCACTGTGTGAACATCAGCGACCAGGCGATGCACACACTCACCTCCCCCACCTCCCCTCTGAAGGAGAAGCTCACCTACATCAACCTGGCAGGTGAGGGCTGGTCTGATTGTGCTGCTGCTCCTCCTCCTCCTCCTCTTCTTCATCGCTGTCTTTCTCCTGCAGGTTGTGTGAAGGTGACGGAGCAGAGCGTCCTGCTGCTGCGACTCTGCCCCACCCTGCAGACTGTGGACCTCCGCTGCTGCTCCCTCCTCTCTGCTGAGACTGGACAGCTGCTCTCCTTCCCCTCTTCCTCCACCTCCTCCTCATCTACAACCTCCTCTTCCTCCACTACCATCACCACTACCGTCGCTGTTTTGTCCTCCTCGTCCTCCTGTCCTGATGACAGAACATTGCTGAAGAACAGCTAAAGTCCTCCCAAGTCATGGGACTCTTGAATCCAGATGGTCTACAAGCCCCGCCTCCGTCCTCGTTACACTACAGACAGGTGAGGATGAGGAGAAAGAGCACTTCCTGTTGCCGAGGAGGAAGAGGAGGGACGTTTAATGGAACAGTTGTTGGTAATAGTTAAACATAGAAACCTGAGCATGTACATATTTGTTCTCTGTACAATTTTGGGTGTGTGTATATATCTGTAGTTTACTGTAAATGACCTTTGACCTTCCTTCACCTCTCCGCCCCTTCGTTCCTTCCTCTTTTTGACCAATCACAACGCCACACACCCGTCTGCTAATCAGTCGCTACAGAAAGATGCTCAGATTCAGCTGCTGCCATCTAAATGCCAACACACACACACACTCCTGTCGACATCAACAACCACCGAGCTGAGATCAAGTCAGTCATGTGACAGACCGCTGCAGTGATGTCATCATGTGAACATCAGGAAAATCTTCAAATCTGATCAGTCGTGACTTAACTGATTATTTGGAATCATTTTTGTCTAATAATTGAAAAAAGTTGTTAAGCTCCTCCCCCACCCCAACGAGATGTCTCAAGCTCCTCTCACATCCCCAACAACACATCTCAAGCTCCTCCCTTACCCCAACGAGGTGTCTCAAGCACCTCCCACATCCCCAACAACACATCTCAAGCTCCTCCCTTACCCCCCAACGAGGTGTCTCAAGCACCTCCCACATCCCTAACAACACATCTCAAGCTCCTCCCCACCCCAACGAGACATCCCAAGCTCCTCCTATAGCCCCCAACTCAACAGCTGTCTCAAGCTCCTCCCCCACCCTGACAATCTCTCCAAGTCAGTTCAGGTGGTTTTCTCATATCTAAACTCTTCTAGAAGCTGGAAGCTGCAGAAACTGGACAAATAATCAGATGAGTCGATTGTCTTCCAGCTGATTGATTCATGAGCAGCTGATGAAAGTATTGATCTGTACTGATCAGTTTTGATTGGTACTGATCAGTTGGGTTTTTGGTGTTTCTGTCATGGTGGACTCGGTTCTAGACCTCCCGGGGAATCGGTCCAACAGATCATCAGCTGATTGATTTTACTGGGAGCCAAAGGTTTGAGGCGGAGCTGCTGCTTGTCGCTCCTGATCGATCAGTAAACGGGTGTGTTGATTCCTCAGCAGGTGTGGGAGTGGCTTCCATCAGAGGTGTGTGTGTGTGTCCCGATCGGACAGATGTATCATTGTTTGTGTATTTGTAGTTTATTTTTGTTTTTCTCAGGAATTTTTTTTCTTTTTTTTTTTTTAAGTTTAATTTATTCAAAGAACTCGGTCCAGTCCGAACGGTTCTTGCTGCTTCCTCTCTGTCCCAGACGCCACTTCCTGTCTGCTGTGAGACAGGAAGTTTCCTTTTAATGGTCCAGACTGAGAGAGAGCAGCCAAAGTCCTGCTGATCAGGACCACTTCACCAGAGCTACAGCAAAGTCTGGATCCTCTGAGAGAAACCAGGCTGGGGTCCGCTCGCTGCCGCCGCTTGCTGCTGTTTTAAAGAAATGAACTGATCTGAGGTCAGCCCTCAAGAGTCTGTTGAGGATGACTCTCAGCAACCACCACGCCAAACGTTAGTCTGTAAAACAGAGCTGAGGCGTTTTTGTTGATTAAATGTGGCGGCCATCTTGGATTCTGAGGTGTACCTGCCGGTCCAGTTCATTCCACAGCTCAGGGAGCGATCTGATCCGAGTTCACGTCTTCAGAGATTGACAAGTTCTGGTTCTCCTCAGCTGTTCTGCTGGATTTCTTTGGTTCTACTCTTTGAAATGGTTCAGAACAACTACATGTTCAGAACCTTAAACCTGGTTTGAGTTTCTGTTCCAGAACCAGTCATCCAGGATCCTGTCGGGATGTCTCGTTAGCGGGTTCCGAGACCTGGGTCTTTTTTGTTCTGATTGGTAGGAACTGGACTCACAGTCTGTAAACAGATTTGTTCTGTTTTGGATCAGGTGGACTGGTTCTACAGTCTGGATCAGAACCTTGTGTTCTGGTTCAGTACCGTTACAGGTGTGGTTTGGGTCGTGGCTGCAGAGCTTCCTTCTGGTTCTGATCCGGACAGTCTGAAATTAGATTTTATTTTATTTTTTCGTTTTGTTTTGGGCCTCAGCTGTGGTGCGTTCACTGTCCACACAGGCTGTGGGACGTTTGTGTGTCCATTTGGCTGCCCGTCCTGAGAGGCAACAGCACTGAGGGGGGTGGGGGGTCAGATTTTATTTTTAACGAGCGTCACGTCGACTCCCAACAAAAACTGGATCATCAGGTCCATCGGGTCGTGGTTCTGCTGTCGCTGCTGCTTCGGGTCGGTTCTCTGCAGGGTTTTTGTTGATCTGAATGTTGCTGTGGCGACGCCTCGTGCCATAAACGCAGCTTTGATCTTTGTGTTGAAACGAGTTTTTAACGTCGATCAAACACGACGACCGGCTGAGGACGTTCTCGTCAGACATATCTCCTCTGGATCTTAGTAGAATAAATCCAAACCTTTGTGTTGCCGTTTTAAGATGCACTGGATCCGCCTCGTCGTCCCCTTCCTTGGTTTCTGCCAAACGTAGATTTTGTTGTGAAAAGGGGCATTTCTGCTGTTTTTCTTTGTTTTTATACTTTGTCCATGACTCTTCCATTGTGTTGATGGAAAACTGAAAGAAAAAGACAAAAACTCAAGGCAGCTACATATGAGTGACTACTGCGATGACAAATAAAGAAGCAATGGGTTTGTTTTTACTCTGTGTGAGCTGTGTGTTATTCTCAGAATGTGTTAAAGTAAAGCTTTCCTAAATGTTTTTATTCAAACGTTGTGCCAGTAGCTTCTGAATCAAATCAAAAGCTGTGAAGAACCAAGTCCAAGAGCTGCTGATCCTCATGAGGTGGGGGGAGGGGACTGCCTCAGCTCTGAAGCATCCAGGGGTGTGTGAACACAACGCCAAGGTGGAAAGACATCAGCAATGACCTCAGCAGTTGCTGCCCGTCAACCTGAGAAGGGTCAAAGGTCATCTGGACTCCAGCTTACAGTCTTCACAGCACATTCACCCTGAAGGTCAGACCATGCAGTGACTACAGACCTCAGTCAGTAGGTCAAAGGTCATGGCCTCCTCTAAAAATTGGTTGCTATAGTGGCGCACAGAAGTGCAGCAGCTTTTCATGCTCCCAGGATTAAGCCATATTTTAATTATTTTAATTATTATTTAATTTCTATGAGGCTGGTTTAGGCTCTAGTTCAGTGCTGAATTCACAGCTCAACCGAACTGATGGCCATTAGAGACAGTTCGGTTATTAAAATATCACCGAGGCTGAAATCCGTACTCGGCAGACAGCGGCTCCTGAGGACAACGAAATGGCGCAGCAAAGTGCGAGGAGCAATGGTCAAGAGGAAACGATGTGCCCAGAAACAAGAGGGGGAAGCATGGGGTACGCTGGCCCAGCTACAGGCTAGAAGGCCATCGGTTCCTACTCTCTTTCTGGCCAATGTCTGCTCACTGGATAACAAAACAGATTTGTTACATCTGAGGAGGAGAGTTTCTACAGAGATGAACTGTGTTGTTCTTTGCCTAACGGAAACCTGGCTGAAGAACAACATGCTGGACTCAGCTTTCCAGATTCACGGTCTTCAGTTATTCAGAGCGGACCGTGACCATCGGTCGGGTAAAACACGGGGGGGGGGGGGGGGGGGGGGGCCTTTTTTTCTTTTTGGGAAGAAGAGGGGGGTGGGGAAAGGTAGATGTGGAAAA